TAAATAAATTCATAAAAATTACTACACATCAAAGAACATTGTTGATTTGCATCTATGAATTCTACAAAATCTTTAACGTATTCACGATTTGGATACTGAACGATGGTAGCAGAAAATCATTGTTCTGGAGAGAGAACGTATTCTAAAGACATCTGCATAAATTATACAATAATTAATTTTTTTAAACAAATCTAATTATTTTTTGAGGAATGCTTGTATACTAAACATACTATAAGTAAATGTCAAATTATTCAATAATTAATATTTTCATTTGATTTTACACATCTAGTAAACAAAACAAAGTACTGTTAAGTGTAAAATTATTTAAGAATCAATATTTTCAAATAAATATAATTTAATTTTTTTTACATATCTTGTATACTAAAAAAGACTAAAATTAAGTGTAAAAATGTTCAAAAATTAATATTTCAAACAAATCTAATATTTTTGTGTACACATATAGTAAAACATACTAATAGTAGGGGCGGGTTAAAAAAAAAAAAAAAAAAAAAAAAAAAAAAAAGAACGAATGGTTGGTAGTAACTTTTCACATATATAGAATATCAAATATATGTTTATTTGGAAAACTCTATTTATTCTGCTATGGATGGCGGGCAGACTTATATTCCTTGGTTTTAATAGGACACATTGGACCGGTTTTGGGCCCAACCCAATACCGATATCAACTTGGTCGGTTTAGGTCAATTCCAATCCAAACCGACTGGTTCGGTTTGGTTAGTTGATTTTCTTTCTTTCCTAGTTATAAAGGAAAAAGGTCCATTTGGTTGAATCTAGTCTATTCTTGAAGTAAACAACTCACACACACTCCATTTCCGAAAAAGATCAACACCAATCGCTACACTTAAATTTACTTGATTTGTCGCTAAAATATTGGGATCAAATCTGGAACTCCCGACAAATGGTTAGTGGCCTAAAGAAACGTAAGAATCAGTTACATTTTTCAAAGGATCTCCTTTTATAAATAAACTAAAAAATCGAACATAACACAACAATTATTTTTCAATGGATATCAATAGACAAAAAATCCTAAGCAATAAATCTATTTAATTACTCAAATGATCTAAATTGAGAAAAAGAATCAATTTTGAATCATAAAGAACTTAGGTGCACTTTTGATGAAATCTAATGGGATAATCGGAGACGAGAACGAGAGGGCAGCGAAACTGTTGAGTTGTTTGGTATGAGATACTGAGGCAAATGACAATTAGGTTTTGCTTTTATATTTTATTTTCGATTTAAAATTAAATTTTAAATTTGAATTTTAAATGATTAAAAATAATAATAAAAATGAAGGGGTTAGGTCTACTCGGATTGGTGGCTTAACCTATGACGTAACGCGACCCAACAAATAGCGAATTGGATGCTACCTGAATCAAACCACGAAACAAGACCAAAACCACCCGACGGTCGAGTTCGACGGTTTGGCGGGTAATTTGCCTACCTCTAATCAACACGCTGCCATGTAATTTTAGTGTGACCGTTAATAGCACTGGAATATATTATAAGTCAGTAATGCATGGCAGACGTCATTAAGAAACATTAAAACTACAATCATGTAGATGGAAATCAAATCTCAGTAATTCAACTAATAGAGAATTTCCAAAATGACAAGTTCTCTTTCCTCACTAGACATGACTTCGTTTTTTCAGAATCCTGAAAGTAGAACATAGTTAAGATTTTCCGGATACCATGTAAACTCGTACTTTTAACTCCAAGGGAAGAAAGAAAAATTGTGTCATAGTCTGTTTTCCCTTCCTTCAAGAAGTTTACATCTATCAATGAAACAACTTCCACGGATACTGTTTCGTGTTGTCACACCTGTCATACCCACTTGGGCCAATGGCCCACTCATCCTGATCCACGTGGCGTTCCTGCCGAGGTGACACACATTTTCGAGGTGGGTTACATCCGAACTGCTTCAAGCCGAGGTCCATCCGTTGAGGCACCACGATCCGACGTACTCTGCCGAAATCCAACTACTGAGCCCCATGACCAAAAGCATGGAACCTGTTAAATTTAGCTGAGGTCCTCAGGTGGAGGTATTTGTCAAATGGTCGAAGCCCCGAAGCTGATGCGCGAGCCTCCTAACCACAAGGAGTTTCCTCCACTATCACTTCTCCCAAGAGATCGCCTGCTCAGAGATCTTATTCGAATGACTGATGGAACGTTTGTCACAAGCATAAAAGTCAAGTCTTTTCACTAGTATAAAAGCGCAAGCAATAAATGCGCCGTAAGCTAGCAAGTCAAGTCTCATGCTTAAAAACAATATAATAACCAACAGCATTAAAAGTAAATAAATAAAACAAGAGTTAAAACAGCTGGGCTTCCTCCCAACAAGCGCTTGATTATAGTCCTTAGCTCGACTATAGGGCATCTTTGTTCCGGATCTTTGAAAGGAATGGAGGATTTTTCATTAGCAAAATCACCTCCCTAATATAGTTTCCATCTGTGACCATTTACTTTGAAATTCGCCTTTCCTTCATCAAAAAGCTCAACCGCTCCATGTGGAAAAACTTTTACGATGGTGAAAGGACCCGACCATCTGGAGCGGAGTTTTCCAGGGAATAACTGGAGTCAAGAATTGTACAGAAGAACTTGTTGCCCGACAAAAAAGTCCCGCCTCACAATGTGCTGATCATGCCATCTCTTCGTCTTTTCTTTATAGAGACGTGCACTCTCATATGCATCAAGGCAAATTTCGTCAAGTTCATTCAGTTGGAGCAATCTCTTCTCACCGGCCAATTTTTCATCAAAATTCAAGGCTTTGATAGCCCAATAGGCCCGATGTTCGAGTTCGACTGGTAAATGACATGCTTTTCCAAATAGAAGTCGATATGGAGACATACCAATCGGTGTTTTAAAAGTAGTCCGATATTCCCACAATGCATCGTCCAACTTCTTGGACCAATCTTTTCTTGATGCATTGACCGTCAACTCGAGAATTCTCTTTAACTCTCGATTAGATATTTCAACTAGGCCACTTGTTTGGGGATGATAGGGAGTGGCCACTCGATGATTCACTCCATATTTGGTCAAAAGTGAGTCGAAGAGGTAATTACAGAAATGTTTACCACCATCACTAATGAGAGCTCGGGGAGTGCCATAGCGCGAGAAAATATTTTTCTTCAGAAAATTTACTACCACCTGAGCATCATTAAGAGGTAAAGCTACCGCTTCTACCCACTTTGACACGTATTCTACAACCACCAATATGTATTTATTTGAAAATGAGGACGGAAATGGCCCCATAAAATCAATACCCTAAACATCAAATATCTCCACCTCCAATAAGGAATTCAACGGCATTTCATTACGTTTAGAAATTTTACCAGTCCATTGGCATCGATCACACTTAGAGACAAGTGTATGAGCATCCTTAATTAAGGTGGGCCAATAAAAACCAGATTGAAGGACCTTTGATGCAGTTTTTACAGCACCAAAGTGACCACCATATTGAGAAGAATGACATCGTTCAAGTATTTTCTCCATTTCCCCCTCTGGCACACATCTCCGGATAATTTGATCCGGACCCCGGTTGACTAACAAAGGATCTTCCCAGAAGTAATGCTTCACATCAGCGAAGAACCTCTTCCTTTGTTGATAAGAAAGATCTGGGGGTATGATGCCACTAACAAGATAGTTCACATGGTCTGCATACCATGGTGTATGATTGGCTTGTAAAATCTGGATGATTTGCAATAGCTATTCATTAGGAAACACCTCATTGATTTCACCTTCCAAAACGTCTTCGGGTTGCTCAAGACGAGATAAATGATTAGCAATGACATTTTCAATTTCCTTTTTATCTCGAATCTCGAGGTCGAACTCCTACAAGAGGAGTGCCCATCTGATCAACCTCGGCTTGGCATCTTTCTTTGCCAACAAATATTTGATGGCCAAGTGGTCAGTGTAGACAATTACTTTGGAACCAATGAGATATGATCGAAATTTATCAAATGCAAATACTACTGCTAGCATCTCCTTTTCAATAGTAGCATAATTCAATTGCGCATTGGTCAAAGTTCGACTGGCGTAATAGATAACATGCAGGACTTTATCTCTCCTCTGCCCCGGAACTGCTCCAACAGCATAATCACTAGCATCGCACATCAGCTCGAATGGAAGATTCCAATCTGGAGCTGCGATGATAGGAGCCGTGATAAGCTTTTCCTTCAGTGCATTGAAAGCATTAAGGCATTCTTCGGAGAAATTAAAGGCTGTGTTCTTTTCAAGCAAGGAACAAAGAGGTTTTGTGATTTTTGAAAAGTCTTTAATAAACCTCCTGTAAAAGCCAGCATGTCCGAGAAAACTTTGAATTCCCTTTATTGTAGTTGGTGGAGGCAATTTTTCAATTACTTGAATTTTTGTCTTATCAACCTCTATGCCTTTTAGAGAAATTCAATGGCCAAGAACTATGCCTTCTTTGACCATGAAATGACACTTTTCCCAATTTAGAACCAAATTGTTCTCTTTACATCATCTAAGTACCATCTCTAAATTGTTAAGGCATCTATTAAATGAGGCACCGAAAACTGAAAAATCATCCATAAAAATCTCAATACTTTTCTCCACCATGTCGGAGAAAATCGACATCATACACCTTTGGAACGTAGCAGGTGCATTGCACAGGCCAAAGGGCATTCTCCTGTACGCAAAAGTACCGTATGGGCATGTAAATGTTGTTTTCTCTTGATCTTCCGGAGCTATTGGAATTTGATTATAGCCCGAATACCCATCAAGAAAACAATAATGTGAATACCCTGCCAATCGCTCTAGCATTTGATCTATGAAAGGAAGAGGGAAGTGATCCTTTATAGTTGCAGTATTTAACTGGCGGTAGTCAATACACACTCGCCAACCAGTCACCGGTCTAGTGGGTATGAGTTCGTTGTCCTCATTTTTCACTACCGTTATGCCTCCTTTCTTAGGTACAACTTGAACAGGACTTACCCATGGACTATCAAAAATGGGATAGATAATGCTTGCATCAAGTAATTTAACAACTTCCGCTCTCACCACTTCCTTCATATTCAGATTTAACCGCCTTTGATGCTCGACTGATGGCTTAAAGTCATTCTCCATCAGTATTTTGTGCATACAAAATGACGGACTGATTCCCCGAATATCATCTATCGTCCATCCAATTGCTTCCTTATGTTCTCGTAAGACTCGAAGTAGCTTCTCTACTTCTAGATCGGTTAAGGAATTGGAGATGATCACTGGAAGTGTGGATGATTCTCCTAAATAGGCGTACCTCAAATGAGGTGGAAGTATTTTCAAATCAAGCGTAGGGGCTTTTTGATGAGATGGAAGAGGTATTGAAGATGTCTTTTCCAACTCCTCATAATATGGTACCCTCTTGAAGGTGCGGAAATGTGTAGCTTCCAAGTACTTTGTCATACCTTCAACATCGGGGTCACCATCACTTATATCAGAAAAACTTACTAGGCATCTCTCAAGAGTGTCGTCAGAACGCCCATAAAGAGAGTCGGCAACCAAATGATCAATCATATCCACCCGAAAACAGTCATCTAGTTCTGACGGGTACTTTATGGATTTCAAGATGTTAAAAGTGACTTGCTCATCTTGTACCCTTAAAATGAGTTTACCCTCCTGTACGTCAATCAAAGCTCGACCGGTGGCAAGAAATGGTCGTCCCAGAATGATAGGGATATCATTATCTTCTTCCATGTCAAGTATAATGAAATCAGCAAGGAAGATGAACTTATCCACTCTTACAAAGACATCCTCAACCACACCTCGAGGATATTTAATTGACTGATCGGCCAATTGCAATGACATCGTAGTAGCCTTTGCTTCTCCCATTCCCAACTTTTCAAAAATAGACAAGGGCATTAAGTTAATGCTCGCTCTGAGATCACACAAAGTTTTAGTAAAATTAAGATCCCCAATAGCACATGGAATAGTAAAGTCCCAAAAAGTGCTAAATAAGTGTGTAAAAACACACTTATCAAAACCATAGCCATGTATTTATATAAGCCCAAACGGGCCTGGTCCAGTCCGGTCCAATATTTAATTAATCCATTTAATTAAATCCAGTCCGTGAATTAATTAATCCAATTAATTAATTCGAGCCTATAAATAACCAACACAATTAATTAATTTATCCAATAATTGTTAAATTAATTAATTGACAAATTGTAATCTTCCAATTCTCTTTTATGTGCGACCCATCAGGTTCCTGATCACGATGCCTAACGATGTGAAATATTATTTTGATCTAATCAAAATTGATAAATTAAAACACCCTTTTAATTTATCATCAATTCACACTCCCCGTCCTAGATTGACATCTAGAAATGTGTCAGGGCAATACATGTGACGGGAAATGTCATGTAGTATGACAAAATCAAACTCGTTCATTTGCCATGAAACTATAATCCATTCATCAATATGATCCGATCAATTACAAGATATGGAAATGTGTCAATCTCGAATATCGATCATATCTTTTACTCCACTATTAAGTCAATATAAGTCGAAAACTCCTTTTCGACTTATGAGTACACCTTGGCCAAGGATTTCATCATCAACTTAATTGAATGAAACACAAATCATAATCTCCTACTATTTAAGAGTGATAAATCCTTTATTTGTCAATCACAATATTCATACGATTCTTGACGTACCCGAACGATGTCGTATTAGCGGCCCTTTGTAGAGCAACATTCAACACGCCAAAGTATGAATATCCTCATATAAGGTACCATGACGACAAGTCAAAGGACCAATTCCACTACCGAACGTTAGAGATTAACCACTGACATTTAGATAGTTATCCATGTGGAATCTCTCGACGGGTCTCCAATGTTTTGTTCTATAATAAAACATCCACGTGTTCATTTAAGTGTCATCACACTTTAGCTTGTGAGATCAGCTACTTATTTTCCAAGTAAGAAATGTCACACGTGAT